TTAGAACGCTGAAAAAATACTTATATATTAGTAAATAATGCATAATGGCACAAATTGTTCACTTTTGCCTGCTAACTTCTCGCATACCTCTCAAAAGCATGTGGACTTTTTGTACTATTGTATGTTTTGTGTCAATTTCAAAGACCTGAAGTGAATCTCCTTACCCTAACAAGCGGTCGGACAGTCTGAAATTGGTTGTTGTAGAGAGATGGCTGTTGCTTGTAGGGTTATGTCAATCGTGGAACTTTTATTATATTTACTGTTACTGATAAAAATTATGCAGTTGTAGAGACATAAATTGGAAGTACAAGACCATTTTTGTGTCGACTTGAAAAAGGCGACATAAAGGTTTTACTTTTGTCACTGTGTCGGCGTGGGCGTCCCCTTAAGGTTGTCCGGCACATAAGTCAGTCATAAATCGGATTGACTGCCAGCTTCTTATAATGACCCGAAGTGCAGTGCACAAGAACACGTACTCTGCACTTCTTGTCCGGGGCATTTCTCCTAAAGTATAAAAGCTATGGACTTGAAACTTCATAGAATGATAGATCTCATTCAGAAGAAGTGCAGTGCACAAGAACCGGTACTCTGCATTTCCTTTTTTGAGTTATTGCCCTTTGTTAATTTTCATACTTGAGTTTTATCCAGGCTATTTCTCCTAAAGTATAAAAGCTATGGACATGAAATTTTATAGGATGATAGATTTCATTAAGAAGAAGTGCAGTTCACAAGAACATGTACTCTGCATGTCTTTTCTTTTGAGTTATTGCCCTTTGTTAATTTAAACTTTATTTTTGTCCAAGCCATTTCTCCTAAAGTATAAAAGCTATGGTCTTTAAACTTCATAGGATGATAGATCTCATTAAGTAAGAGTGCAGTGTATAAGAACCAGTACTCTGCACTCTTATTTTGAGTTATTATCCTTTATTAATTTTCATACTTTATTTTTGTCCAGGCCATTTCTTATAAATTATTAAAAAAAACTGTAGACTTGAAACTTCATAGGATGATAGGTCTTATTGATAAGAAGTGCATTGCACAGAAACTGCTGCACTGCAATTCTTATTTTTTGAGTTATTACCCTTTGTCAATTTGTATATTTCATTTTTGTCCTGGCCATTTTTCCTAAACTATATTGTTCACAAGGCGACACATCCGACTCACGGAGTTCTAGTTTTCAATCAGAATGTTAAGAATTTCCCATTTTTATTTAAGTAACATATACAAGTGGTTCTATCTCCAAACCAAAGTTTCTTATAAAACGTGTATTGCATATACAATCCTTCTGAAAGTAGATCTGATTAGTTTGGGGTCCATTCTTGCTTATGAAACACTGCGCCAAAATGCTGTACTCATAGTCCAAGAGATGGCGGATTTTATTGCAACTTACTGTATCACAAAAAGAAACATTGCCATTATAAAGCACATTATTTGGAGTTGCTTAAATACGATTTCTTAAGTTACGCAGCCCGAGCAAAAGTACATGAGGGGAGTGGTGGCATAGTGGTTAAGGTGTCTGCCTCTCAACTCAGAGATAATGGGTTCGAGCCCTACTCGGGTCACGACCACGTTTCTTCATACGACACCAGTACTGGTTGGTTCCAGGAAGCGGACTCGAAAGTGATTAATATAAGTTGCAAGAACTTGTTTCGCAATCGAGCTTGAATAAATATGTTTAAACCAAGCAAAAGTACAAAAATTCGAGATGGCCGCCGATATGTCCGTCGTAAATTACAAAATATGATATATAATTTTAATGCTCCCCGAAAAATTTTGGGGGAGCATATAGTCGCCGCCTTGTCCGTCCGTCCATCCGTCCCCTTTTCTTGTCCGGGACATAACTTTGAAACAACAAGAGGTATCAACATGAAACTTTGTAGGTAGATAGATCTCATTGAGTAGGTGTGCAGTGCACAAGAACCATAACTCTGCCTTGCCTAATTTTTGAATTATTCCCCTTTTTTAATTTTTATACTTTGAACTTTGTACGGGACATTACTCTAAATGTATAAGAGATATCAACATGAAACTTTGTAGGTAGATAGATCTCATTTTTGTTCATTTTGACACTTTGAACTTTGTCTGGGACATTACTCTAAAATTATAAGAGATATCAACATGAAATTTTGTAGATAGATAGGTCTCATTGGGTAGAAGTGCAATGCTTAAAAATCATTACTCTGCCTTGCCTTATTTTGAAGTAATTGCCCTTTGTTTATTTTTACTTTTTGACTTTTGTCCGGGACATAACTTTAAAACTATTGGAGATATCAACTTGAAACTTTGTAGGTAGCTAGATATAATTGGATAGAACTGTAATACTTAAAGAACTTAAACAAAGCCTGGTCTAATTTTGGAGTTATTGCCCTTTGTTCATTTTTAGCTCACCTGTCACAAAGTGACAGGGTGAGCTTTTGTGATCGCTTTTCGTCCGGCGTCCGTCCGTCCGTCGTCCGTCCGTCGTCCGTCCGTCCGTCCGTCCGTAAACTTTTACTTTAAATGACATCTCCTCATAAACCACTAAGCCAATTTCATCCAAACTTCACAGGAATGTTCCTTTGGTGGTCACCTTTAAAAATTGTTCAAAGAATTTAATTCCATGTAGAACTCTGGTTGCCATGGCAACCGAAAGAAAAAACTTTAAATATCTTCTTTTAAAAAACCATAAGAGCTAGAGCTTAGATATTTGGCATGAAACATCTTCTAGTGAGTGTCTACCAAGTTTGTTCAAATAAAAGCCCTGGGGTCAAAATTGGCCCCGCCCCGGGGGTCATTGATTTTCCCTATATGCATATAGTAAAAACTAAAAAATCTTCTTTTAAAGAACCCAAAGAGCTAGAGCTAAGATATTTAGCATGAAACATGTTCTAATGGGTGTCTACCAAGTTTGTTCAAATAAAAGCCCTGGGGTCAAAATTGGCCCCGCCCTGGGGGTCATTGATTTTCCCTATATGCATATAGTAAAATCTTAAAAAATCTTCTTTTAAAGAACTCAAAGAGCTATGGCTAAGATATTGAGCATCAAACATTTTCTAATCAGTGTCTACCAAGTTTGTTCAAATAAAAGCCCTGGGGTCAAAATTGGCCCCGCCCCGGGGGGTCATTGATTTTCCCTATATGCATATAGTAAAAACTTAAAAAATCTTCTTTTAAAGAACCAAAAGAGTTAGAGCTAAGATATTTAGCATGAAACATGTTCTAATAAGTGTCTACCAAGTTTGTTCAAATAAAAGCCCCGGGGTCAAAATTGGGTCCGCCCCAGGGGGTCATTGATTTTCCCTATATGTATATAGTAAAAACTTAAAAAATATTCTTTTAAAGAACCAAAAGAGTTAGAGCTAAGATATTTAGCATGAAATATCTTCTAATGGATGTCTACCAAGTTTGTTCAAATAAAAGCCCTAGGGTCAAAATTGGCCCCGCCCCAGGGGTCATTGATTTTCTTTATATGTGTATAGCAAAAACTTAAAATAATCTTTGAAAAAACCCAAATAGCTAGAGTTTAGATATTAAGCATGAAACATCTTCTAGTAAGTGTCTACAAAGTTTGTTAAGATAAAAGCCCTGGGGTCAAAACTGGCCAGGCCCCATGGGTGTCATTGTTTTTAACTATATGTGTATAGTAAAAACTTAAAAAAAATCTTCTTTTAAAAAGCCCAATGAGCTAAAGCTTAGATGTTTAGCATGAAACATCTTCTTATGGGTTTCTACCGAATTTGTGCAAATAAAAGCCCTTGGGTTAAATTGGCCCTGCAATGTTGGGGGGTGGTTGGGGGGGGCCTATATACAGGTGAGCGACCTCAGGGCCATCATGGCCCTCTTGTTACACTTTGAATTTTACCCGAGACATAACTCTGATGTCATCAGGAAACTTTATAGATAGATAGATCTCATTGAATAGAAGTGCAGTGCAAAAAAACATAACTTGGCTTTGCCTAATTTTGGAGTTTTTGCCCTTTGTTCAATTTCTTTTACCTTTCTGTGTCCAGAACCTTCTCGGGGAGCATCACCCGGTTCAACCGGTTCTTGTTGTTTCTTGAATAGCACGGATTTATATTACATGTAATGTAAATCAGTGTTTAACAGTTACTTTAAGATTTTGTACAAAATAGTTATAATTTTAAAATATCAGATAAAATACGGTTTATTTATGATTCAATCGAGGCAAACTGACAATTATATGGCAAACTTTAAAATTATCACTATCAATTTACTAAAAAAGTGGTAAAATAACATTTTTTGACAATCTTATGACTCGTTTTTCCGTATCAACACAATATAAATGAAAATTCATTTTAATTGTATAAACTTTATTAATTTAACATAGCTAGAACAATCATTATCTGAGCATTTATGCCGTAATAGTAGAACTTCAAAAGTGGGTGGGGTAAAATTACCTTTTTTTGTGTTTTTTTTTCTTTAAATAACAATGTTCCAATAACATGTCTTTACTCTCATTTGAACATTTCTTGATAAGTTAAAGCAGTATATATGATGATGAATCCGGGACACTTTAAAGCCTCAAAAAGTGTTTATCCATCAAACCAAAAGGTAAGACAGCTCGACACATCTTATTCATCAAACCAAAATGTAAGACAGCTCGACATAAACCCTTTATATTGATTAAGAAACACCCTCAGGCCGAAACCCCCGGAACCATCATTGTATATACTACTCTTAAAAGAATACTAACAAGGCAGCATTTATTGTAAGGGAACCGGCGAGCCTAAAGGCTCTTGTACTTTTTTATTATTTAAATATATAAATGAGTTTACAAATTGAAAGAACGAAAATACACTGATAATTCTTGATGGGTAACACCCAAGTGTTTATACTACTCTTTTTTTTTCTTGAACCATACCTTAGGAACCAACTTTTAATTAGTTGTAGCCTAAAAATCAATAGTTATCACGTCATCCAGTATCCCGAACATTCGTCTACACTACAGAACTTTCGCCTAGCCTAAAAATCAATAGAATGCGTCGTTACGAACTTTTCAATATCATTTCAGCATTTAACGGCGAGGAATACAGAGCGATAAGACAGAATGTAAGTTGTTTCACCATTTTTTTCTAACAAATATAGTAAATCAACTACTTATTCTTTTATCTAAGAAGTTTTCGTTAATATCTTAATCATTAAATTTTGTTGTTTTTTTTTATTTTAGGGCTGAAATCTTTGCAATAAAACTCTTCAAATATATACAAAATCTGGAAGATTTTCTCGTACGTAAAAAAGGAGAAGTTATTAGTCAGAATGAGTATAATAAAATATGTGAACTTAAAAACACATTTGAGTACATTTCTGATATTCATCATTTAATTAAAGATCAAGTCGGACAAACAGTTACAGAAAACGAAATAAAAACGTTGGAAAGTAAAAAAATTAAATACTCGGATACTGATGAATATAAGCAATTTGACGGCTTTAAACAAATGGGATTATTGGTAGAGAAGGAATCAATTCAGCAGCTCCCACAAAACTTACCTAGACGCAATAATAAAACAAAAACAAAAAAGCAATACGACGAAGTAAAAAAAGACGTATTAAAGTCATACAAGCAAGATCGGAACTTAACTGGAGAGGTTGTGTTGAAGCTAGAAAACACCGAAAAATGTATCGAAACTTTAAAAACACTAGAAAGACCTACACTGAGTGCTGAAAGAATTAATTTAATCTATAACATTAAAAAAGGAGAGGTTTTAAAAAAAATCAAGGATTTAGAGAAAGGTGGATATTTAAAAAAATTACAAGAAAATGGTATACCTTATAAAATTTCACACTGTAACTTTTTGATTAAATTGTACAAGTTTTCACTAGATCATTCCAATATCATTCATTGTTCTTTGTCATTGCATTTTCTACAAAAGCATTGGAGTGTTATTCCAACGATATTCAATGAATTGAAATGGTAGAATCAATAAAGGGCAAATAAACGAGCGTTGGTACACGCTTTATTGATTTTACCATTCGCTGTGGTGAATATTGGAAAAAAATTCAGCTTGTATTTGAAAACTTTTGTGGAGTCAATGAAGCGCAAACCAATGTTTGTTGGTATCACAGGCGCTAGTCACATAATCAAATATTTTACATAATCGGTCTATATATGTATATAAAGATTTATATACATATATAGACCGATTATGTAAAATATTTGATTATGTGACTAGCGCCTGTGGTTGGTATATTATTGCTCGACTGATTTTAGCTGTATTGGGAAAAAAATGAAGCGCAAACCAAGGTTCGTTGGTACTTCAACTGTTTTGAAAAAAAAAATTATTGTTTATGCGAATTTAATTATTAAATAAAAAGGAATTATGGCAAAACAAAAACTTATTTTGATATTCACCCGTTCACTCACTTAATACCCTTGGATGGGCATAATGTCACTTAATAAGCGCAAACCGACGTTTGCTGGTATATACTTGACTGATTTCTGCTGTATTGTTAAAACATTTATTGATGCGCAAACCGACGAGCGTCGGCACACGCTTGACTGATTTTACTATTTTTAAACATTTTTCTAACTGTACTAGTTTTTTTATTGTTTGTTCATTTTCTTTTTGATTATTGATGTTTAAATGTTTGTATAATATATCATATAAAAACACTTTCTTTTGTAATAAATGTATGAAAAATAAACAATAATAACCACACAACACACTTGTTTCATCTTGATATTGTATGTTGTTAAAATTCTAATCTGGAATGTAATTAATTACCTCTTTTGGTGGAGGAAGTCCGAAAGGGTTGAAGTGATTATTTCTGTAATAACACAACCTATGTCTACCAGATCTCATAGGTCATCTAAATCTATTACCCCGCATTTTTTACTGTGAGAAGATAAATTATTTTTACTGAAGAAGCCCTTCCTTGTCCGGAGCATAACTTGAAGACTAATGGTTGGAATTCAATATAACTTCATAAAATGTTCAAGCACATTAAGAGGAAGTGCGGTGCACAAGAATCATAAATCCATCTTGATTAATAGGGTATGTAAGTCTCGTCATGTGACTTGCGAGATTTTACGATATTTTGCACTTCCGGGTACAAACAAATATCAACAACATTGCTTATCTATATTGGGTAATACTTTTATGCCGGTGGGAAAGTAAAACTTACACGGAAAAGCAAATGATATGTGGAAATTGGCAGAGTTTTTTGTTTTGTAACGAAATGCAAATGGTTTCAAGTTGTGAACAAGTATCAATGAAAGACAACTTCGTATAATCTTCAGGTGGGTGTGTCATTTCAAATTCAGTTTATCCCAATAAATGTTGTAATATTTTCATTTCCATGTAAATCTAATAAATTTGTTTTTTGATACAACATCATTCGTATCTGACACCAGACTGGTGAATTTGATTTTATCAATTTTTCTATAGCGCTACCTGATTATCTCTCAGAAGTATATAATGTTTAGAAATTTCGGACAGCGCATATTTCGGGATAAACGTTTCAATATGATTATCAGTGTGTTTTAGTTGAATATATTTTCTTCCAACTGAAAATATTATTTATTTATAATTATTATCTTTATAAAGCACAAACAGTCAAGCTGTATATATAACCAATTTAAATTGTCATAAAATTCAATGAAATATTTTGCTCCTGTAGATATATTTTGACTGAGGACAGTGGTGAGATGAAAGACGTCAGTATCCATTTAAATACACATGCATGCTCTGCTGTGTAAAATCGTTTTGGTAAGAAATATATACTTAAAGCTACTTAAACTACATTAATGAAAAATAAATATTATTGTATAACATATAATGTTCTCGTTTTTGTAAATAATTACAGTGTAGCTAAATAAACAAACAGTATGGCATATGTAGTTAATTCATTGTTAAATACTTGTTTAAAGTATTTTTCTCAAGTAAGTGGATCATATTTTTTAGTTAAATTCATGTTCAATAAATGGTTAAAAGAACTTAGTCACTATCACATTTTTTTAAAGATTCAGTTGTCAAAGCAAATCTACAAAAATACTAGGACACCTATAAGTGTTCTTCCTTTTCACATTATTTTCTATTCATGACAATATGATATACGGATTTGAAATTTATAGCTGACCAATTATTAATTGCTTTCAACTCATGATTAATTTTTCTTTATATACAGGTATGTGTTCTTGAGTATCTTTATCATGGCTCTTGATGTATTTTGGAGTGTTCACCATCAGATTAGAAATCAAATATTTGATACCACCAGGCATAGTTTGAAAGGAAATGTCTATACACAGTCATGGAGTACATAGTGGTAGAGACATGGCAGTCCATTACAGATTTTGACTGAATTAAAGCTTCTTAAAGCTCCATGTCTTGTGTAAACTGTCTGACTGAATGTTTGTATTCTAATAAAAACTAAGTTGAAGAAACTTCAAAAATATATGTCAGTGTAAAAATGTTAAACAAAATATCTGTCTTTGTTAGAAATAAATAACCTGTCTTTATTAGAAAATAAATAACCTGTCATTTGTAACTTTGTATTAACTTAATTATTCAAAGATAATTTATCTTCTGCAAATGGATGCCAAAAACAGTTTCAACCAGGCATCATGTAGTTTCAAAACAGTTAGGATAAATTTGTTATAAATAGACTTGTAAATTAACAGGAATGGTAAAAAGATAAATGTTCAGCATTAAAATGTTTCTATCTTGATTGAGTTTCATTTCATATTATCACCATTGATCACTGCAATTGTAAAAAGTAATGTAATCTTTAACCATTATTTAAATAATCATAAAAATCATCTCGAAGAAAAACTTGTTTCTGAGGCAAGATGTGTAAAATTCCTTCCAGTTATAGCCTTTCACTGCTCTTAGAAAAGCCATGATTTGCATTGTACAGGGCAGGTAGTAATACCAGAGTAAACAATATTAATGCAATTCATCTGTGTTGAGTATTCTGTAGCTAAACACTAGCTTGCTAGCCCTTGTAAGCCCAAGTCTCTCTCTTAATTGGAGAAGACTTGCAATTCTGCATTCCTTGAAGATTTTAGTATCAGAGGTGTAGTTATTACATACCATATACTTCTTTGGGTTTCAAATTACCTGTTTTATAATGTATTGAACCTGTTGACATTTGACCAAAAGTGAATTATCTATACAATACATGCAAAACTTAGGGTTTGCACTTGATACAAAACAATTACATCACTGATACATTAATATACCAATTGGAACTGTTTCAAAATTGTCAATGTTTCAAAAAAAAAAAAAAAAAAAAAAAAAACACACACACAATGCTTTTGTCCATGTACATATGTGTAAATGTAGTCATTGAAGAGTTGTCAAGAACTTTTCATCAATATTATTTAGATAGTGTCTGTTTCGATTTCAGGACAGACAAAATTCAAATGACATGCATAGTATTTACTATAGTCAATGCTTGCATATTCAAGCAATCTAGCCATTGCTGTTAGAGAATTAAAGTACACAGTGACACTTATTTTGCAGATGAACTCTTATGATCAAGCACTGCTATAGATATATGCCAAATAGTAGAAACAAAAAACAGTTCATAAGTTTAATAAACTTTTATTTTTACACAATTTATAGTGCACTGCTTAGCATATATATCACACTAATTTTCCAGTGGAAGAAAAACTTCAGGAAAGCACTTTATAATTAGTTATTTGGACAATGTAACTTTACACTGTGAATGTCTACTGATACAAGAATAAGATTATTTCCTTTTACAAATGTAAAGACTTTGAAAATTAACATGAAAAAATTATCATATAGTTATAAATCATATTCTAATTGAAAAATGTTCAGCTTTATAACAAAACTTTGATTGCAAATTTGTGAGCTTATCAATGATTACCTCACAATATTAGTAGTAGATGATAAATAATATTTTTGCTAATCTTTACTGCATAGTCATTTAATGTCCATAATGTCATATGACTCTACTGTGATTCCATGAAAAAACCTTATCTCTGGTGTGTTATCAGCTTTGCTATATATAGAGTATCTAGTTTTAATACTTAAAACTGCAATGAAATGTGGATATTTTACTCTGTTTCTATCATTGTGACATTAACATGTTAACAAGATCATAGTGTCAAACACCATAAAATCATACTCTTTATACATTAAGATTTTTGTGCTGGATGTCATTCATCTTCTTCAGGAAAGTACATTTGACTATTTTCAGTGGCTTATATTAAACTAATATTTCACTGTAACTGTGTGTTGTCTGATATCATTCTCAAATTAAGGAACTGGAAGATGGTAGTTGCAATAAAGGTCTTCATGGACAAATCCTCCTTCATCTTTTCCCTTTTTATCTGCAGAATGAAAAATCAATAAATATGTTGTTACACGTGTAAGACACTAGAAATGATATTTACATTACATTTAATAAGCTGGTCATGATTGACAGAAAAATTTCATATTTGAAGTAAATAAACATTAAAGATAAACAACAACACATAATATATAACAGTCAAAAATATTTATCTTCTTGAATGTGAAACATGACTATTTTTAATGTTTTATTTACTTATCAATTATCATGCAGTGAAATCCAAAAGTTATTAAATTATAATTATATATTTTGATAATTGTTTATCTTTCCGATCTCAACTAAAAATTAATCAATTATTTTACATGTATTTACCTTTGATGTATAGATAGTTCAGGATCATAGGCAGTGCAAACAGTTGATTAATGGTCCGTATTGAACAACTGTATATTCTATACTTGTCATATACCTCCTTGTCTATACATCTGAAATGGTTTAATCAAATATTATATTTTTTAATTCAATCATTATTTGCTAGGTACCATATTAACATGTAAAAAGGAACAAGAATAAAATGGAAAGGAAAAAATATCCGAATTACTGTGCAATGTCCGAATTTTGTATAACTTTAATATACGCTAGAATTAAAGTGTTTCTCCATTGTTTATTTCAATAAGTTAAAATGGTTTGAATAAATTTCTCACATCAGTAGTTTTAAAACAATACTAAAAGCTAAACAACTAGAATTCACTACCTTGACAAAACATCCGAAACAATTGTCACTATCCGAAAATAAACTAGTTTTATTAAACTCTATAAATCCCTCGTTTTTCCGTCAGATAATTGACCTACCTGCATTTTTGACCCGTGCTATCAATTCCTTCAAATCTGAAGAGGACCGAAACAAATTTAACTTCTATATCCCTCGAGTTCTTCGGGTTACCTATATGCGTAACGGAAAATAAGTCTGCCGATGTACCCGGAAGTGGTAAAGTGAAAGTAAACGAGACTTACGGGCCCTATTACATAATTATTACCCTTTGTTACTTTTCTTGTCCGGAGCATAACTTGAAAACTACTGGTTGGAATTCAAAACAACTTCATACAATTGTCAAGCACTATAAGGGAAAGTGCAGTGCACAAGAACCATAACTTTATCTAAAGTAATAACAGAGTTATTGCCCTTTGTTACTTTTCCATGGCTTTCGTTTGTCCGGAGCATAACTTGAAGACTAATAGTTGGAATTGAATATAACTTCATACAATGGTCAAGCACATTGAGAGGAAGTGTAGTGCACAAGAGTCATAACTACATCTTGACTAATTACAGAGTTACTGCCCTTTGTTTCTTTTCCCTGTCCGGAGCATAACTTGAAAACTACTGGTTGGAATTCAAAACAACTTCATACAATTGTCAAGCACAATAAGGAAAAGTGCACTGCACAAGAACCATAACTCCATCTTGACTAATTACAGAGTTATTGCCCTTTGTTACTTTTCCGTTGCTTTTTTGTCCGGACCATAACGTACTGGTTGGAATTCAAAACAGCTTCATACAATGATCAAGCACAAAAAGAGGAAGTGCAGTGCTCAAGAACTTTTACTGTGTCCAGAGTAATTATAGAGTTATTGCCCTTTGTTACTTTTCCATTGCTTATTTCTTGTCCAGAGCATAACTTGAAAACTTCTAGTTGGAATTCAATACTATTTCATACAATAGCCAAGTATATTGAGAGGAAGTGCAGTTGATAGAAACCATAACTCTTTCTTGACTCATTTAAAAGTTTTTGCCCTATGTTACTTTTTATTGTCCAGTGCATAACGTGAAAATTAATGTTTGGAATTCTATGAAACTTTATACAATTGTCAAGAGCAGTAGGATGAAGTGCAGTGCACAAGAACAATGAGAAGTGCAGTGCACAAGAACAATGACTCTTTTTAGAATAATTACAGTTATTGCCCTTTGTTACTTTTTTGTCCTGTGCATAAATTTGAAACTTTGTAGTTGGAATTCAATACAATTTCATACAATGGTCAAGTGCAATGAGAGGAAGTGCAGTGTACTAATTACATAATTATTACCCTTTGTTACTTTTCTTGTCCGGAGCATAACTTGAAAACTACTGGTTTGAATTCAAAACCGTAACTCCATCTACAATATTTATAGAGTTATTGCCCTTTGTTCCTTTTTCTTGTCTTTCTGAACTTATTGCAGAGTAATTCAATAAAACTTCATCAATGGTCAACCACATTGAAAGGAAATGCATAATACAAGAACCACAACTATCTTTAATTGCCAACAACCATAACTATTTCAATTCTTTTACAAGGTATTATGTTACTAGTAACATCCTCATTTCCGAAGCAGTCTTGCGGGGGTATAAATCACATTAAGTGATAGTTCTAGTTTCTTTTATTTCTTGCTACAGACGCCATACCGTTTCCTAGTATTTTACTTCACCAGTACTAGCCAAACCACTTAATGCTCCAACACCTAAAGTGGCTAATATTTTTGCAGCCAATCTTGTAGCAAATGGAATTAGAGTGTTAAGAAAACCGCATGGGCTTCGCATTTGTTCACGTGATATCTTAATTTCTAGGCCAGTTTTTTCTGTTAAGCCCTATCAATTTTATTTATTTATGTTTGTGTTAAAAGTTGGGAAAGTACCATTTAAATCTTCATACTTTATCTCTATATGCTTTCGCAAGTTTGTGCTTTGGTCCTTCTGATAAATTTATTTCATATTCAAGACATTTATATAATTTATATATATATTTTTTTACATTTAAGGGGCCTGTCTTAAACAATAACAACTTCATTTCCAATAGTATTTAATTAAACTGTCTCTTCATACATAACAATGGCATATACACGAATAGGTGCAGCTGGCGGTACATTTAATTTTGCAATTAATGTAAGATGCTTAGGATCAGATGCAATTTCTTCTTTTTTAAATTCTAAGTTAAAATGAATGAATTCAAACAAACCTCAAAGTTTGATGTATTTAAAAGAGACCCAGTATTTTTGTCATTTGTTTGTGAAAGTTATTTATTACATCGTCATATATTCTCGTTATACTAGTATATTCTGTTTCGGGGTAAAGAAACACCATTTCAAACTTCAAGACGACAAAATTGCAAAGTACAATTGCTATTATTAGCATTTACTTTAATAGTATCTAATAAATGAGGGTTTTGCTCTTGTGATAGCTCTTTGTAAATAAACAAGCACATGTTTAGGATTGAATACACCAGCTGTTATTCTAAACATAATATTGCTTTGTTCTGTATCAGATGATTGTGTGACCATTTCTCGAAGGTAGTTCTACTGTTTTGCTTTCAAATAATGTTCAGAAATCAAACTATATCCTTCAGCGTTGAAGATTAACCAAGGAACCCATAAGATAAGTTTAGTTACTATAAATCATCGGCTGCAACTGCCTTATAAATTAATTCATTGCCGTTTGTTAATTGTAATGTAATTTGAATTTTGCTATGGGGCAACACATTTGTCTCTAAACTCCGAAAAAAATGAATTAATTGTATAAAGGGATTTTACATTTAATTTCCTTACCTCCTTGAGCTAATGATTTTCTTGTAGCAAAACCTTTTATTAAATCCAGCCTGATTAGCTCTAGATCCAGCTACATTTGTATAATCCAAAGCAATAAATTCATTTGTCCCTGTTGTTTCTGCATAATCTTTTGTTAGTTATTACAATAATATACAATCTTTCCCTTTTGTTTTATAACTAATTGATCAATTAATGAAGCTGCATTATTTATAACAGCATTATCATAATTAGCTCCGTCTGCCAGTTTATTTATTTTAAAATTTACCTCAAAATACCCATTGAACCACTCAAAATATGAAGATCTATCATTTACAAATTCCAATTCAAATAACTTTATTTGTGTTCAAAGGCCTCATGCCCAAAATACATATCATACATACAACAATATAGTAATATGGTTGCGTCACCTTAACAATGTTTATTAATGCGTAAAAAGACTAGTTGTTTATGTTATCCATTAAAACATATACATAAAACATAAGCTTCCTTAATGTGATTATATCACGTGTACCAATTAATACATAAAAATCACGTAGTTCTTTTTCCGCCAAAATACCAATTGAATAAATACTTATCACTGATTTGTTTGTATTTTTTACATTTAAAGAAAGCA